TCTCTCTCTCTCTCTCTCGCAAACACACACACATGTCCCCCTCAACACCTTCTAGATCTATACACAAACGTTTTTGCTTGTACCTACTAGTGTGAATTTTATGTTTTCTTCCATTCCTGTTTTCTGTGTTGCAGCCATGCTAAAGCAATGTCACATTATAGGCTTGACCCGTACACGAAATGCGATGTATTATGGTGGTGTACTTGGTTTATTGTCCAGTTACTTTTCCACCACAACTGTTACTGCGTATGTTTTGCCTTCTTTTAAACGTTGACCTCTAGGGTAAAGGTCGCAAGTTCAGTTCAGTCCTCCGACCACTTTATGGAAAAAGGAAGAGGTCAAGTCGCTATCATTGTGCGAGAGCATACACATAGACTTTCGTTCTCGTTTTCAGAGTAGGATTAATCTTTGCGTGTACGTACATGTACTTTAGTGAAAAGAGTACAGCAGCGAACGCATGCTGTTGTTTTTGTTGTTGTTGATGTTGCTGTAGTTGTTGTTGCTGTTGTTGCTGTTGTTGCTGTTGTTGCTGTTGTTGCTGTTGTTGTTGTTGCTGTTGTTGTTGTTGTTGTTGTTGTTGTTGTGTCGACGCAGTTTAGACCGGGGCTCAGACCCTGCCCGTCAGGACCAACCAAGGCTGAGAGGGCTAATACAACATCCAAATCCAAGGAGAAAGACTGTCATACTTGATAAAAATCCTTCCAAGACAGGATGGATCTCGAGTCTTCTGCATGCGACAGCGTACGGTCTATAAATAATTGCTACACAACAGACACCGGTGGCACATTTGTGTCAAACGCTTAATCCACAACACCACTACAGTTTGAATGTGACAATTTTAGGCTTATGAATGTATGAATGGGAGGATTAGATCAAAAGTTGAACATTCTTGTTCGGTATTGAGAGCATGGATCTGTTATTTACATCACCAGCTTATATTATAAATATTTTTAAACAATCAATGATTACTCTTAGATATCTTTCCATTGCAAATGGCTTGCTTTTTGCGCTGTCATTCAACAAACAAGGGTATCTTTGCATTCAATGAACTCAGCCTCTCCAGTCAAAACATCCCAACGGAGAAGAAGAAACAACTTCATCACATCAATCTTCACACCAACTCTCAGCTGCCAGTGCCAGACCTGGACCCTGAGGCCCTAATCGAAACACAGCAAAGTAAATTAGTAGCGTGCGAAAGGAAATGTCTTAGAAAAACGTTCAAGATCACGAGAAGAGACAGAAACAGAAACGAAGACATTATACATCAAGCAGGCGTCGAATCGAGCGTAAAATACACCAAGACACAGCGAATAAGGTGGTTTGGATACGTAATGAGCTAGCGTCTAAGGCTTACAATATGCGATTTGATGGCTTCAAGACAAAAGGAAGGCTAAGAAAAAGATGGATCGCGGAAGTCAAATAGACCTCCAAAAGGAACAACATGATGACCCAAGCATCAAAATAATAATAATAATTATCTGGCCTATGTCCAACAGTTGCGTCTACCGTTGACACCTCGTTGTATAAGAGGACAAAAAAAAAAGAAAAAATGGAAGCGATTAAGTGGACACATTGAATACTACATGTATTACCTTA